TTGACTTACAGACCAGAAAAAAACCAAAATGGAACAAAAACGGCCTGTTACGGGATTAATCGGTTTTCAATGCACTGTAGGTCAATGGAGACTTGACCTACAGACTTTTTGACTTGAGAACCGCCTTCCAATATGGATTAAGTTCTCAAGTCAAAACCCCACTGTATGTGGACTGAGAACTCCCAGAAGTACAAGCTTGATTTCAGAGGGGCAGAGGAACTAGAGACCAAATTGCTAACATGTGCTGGATTATGGAGAAAGCCAGAGAGTTCCAGAAAAACATGTACTTCTGCTTCATTGACTACGCAAAAGCCTTCGACTGTGCGGACCACAGCAAATTATGGCAAGTCCTTAAAGAAATGGGAGTGCCTCACCACCTTATCTGTCTCCTGAGAAGGAGCAACAGGAAGCAACAGTTAGAACTCGATATGGAAACACTGATTGGTTCAAAATTGGGAAAGGAGTACGACAAGGCTGTATATTGTCCCCCGGCTTATTTAACTTATATGCAGAATACATCATGTGAAAGGCAGGACTGGATGAATCCCAAGCCGGAGTTAAGATTGCCGGAAGAAGTACCAACAACCTCCGATATGCAGATGATACCATCTGATGGCAGAAAGTGAGGAGGAATTAAAGAACCTCTTAATGAGGGTAAAAGAGGAGAGCGCCAAAAATCATTTGAAGCTCAACATCAAAAAAACTGAAATAATGGCCACTGGTCCCATCACTTCCTGGCAAATAGAAGGGAAAGATATGGAGGCAGGGGCAGACCCACACCCATGGAGTGAAAATAGCTAGTTTTTCATATGGAAGCAAGTGCTACTGAATGCAGTGAGTCTTCTTTATAAAACATAGATACAGTTGGACTGTGATTATGGGAAAGCACTTGGAGAATTCTGTACTTATCTAGTTAGGATACTTCAAGGGCCCTTTGCGCATCCCTGGCCAAAAACCCCTGGGATACTTAGGCATGTACAGGAGGAATGATAGGAATTGCCATGGTTAATGGACAAAGTGTCAAACATGCAAGGGTTCATGGTCAGGATTGGGCTTAACATGCGATGACATTTCTTCCAGTAGATGCAGCAGCTTTCAAGTTCCTCTGGTGCACCTGTAAATATGCATTAGGATTCTGGCCTGTGTGTGATATTTTGATTGGACGATCTCCCTTTAGGAAGTTAGAAATACAAAAGTATGTTGGCACTTCAAAGACCAGCAAATTTAATTTAATTGAGTGTGATCTTTCATGGCTTACAGTTCCCTTTCTCATACTAAGGCTCACACTTTAGTTCAGTGGTGTCCAACCTTGGCCCTCCAGATGTTTTTGGACTTCAGCTCCCAGAAATCCTGGCCAGCAGAGGGGGTGGTGAAGGCGGAGTTGTAGTCTAAGAACATCTGGAGGGCCAAGGTTGGACACCACTGCTTTAGTTGGTTAAAATATACCTATTGGTCTTCAAAGTGCTACAATATTTTTGTTTTGTCCCCTTTTTAAAACACTTGTTGGGAAACGCTAACAAGGCTTCATTTTTTAAAAAAATGTATTAGGAAAAATGCTCCTTACTTTGGCTTGGTTTACATTATTGTTACACATTTGAAAATCTCTGTTGCTCTCCCCCCCCCAAAAAAAAAACCACCAACACACACTTACTTGGAAACCTCTACAAAGATGACATGGGGGATCAAAGTAACCCAGTAAGACGGAAGGCTAAACCCATTTTAATCTCAACTAAAAGAGACTCAGGGAGGTCAGAGAGACTTAAGGATGAACATTGAGTGTACCCGAACAGGGCTACATATTCCTTTTCTCCTTCTTTTTCAGCTCATCTGATTTTAAAAAAGAGAAAATGGATTTAAATAATTTAAGCTCTATAAAAAGAAAGTATAAAATATTGAGTATATAGTAAGTGCAAATTAAGCCTAGCCAGAGATGGTGGCGTTTGTCAGTAGTATAGCATACTTTAGTGTTGATTTAAAAACTGTACCCTTATCTGGCACTAGCTGTAAGCTGACTGCTCAGTGAGAGGGAGCATGTAAAGTCTGATTGCCCACTGTGCCTTGTAAGAGAAGAGCCAGCCTAGTGGTCTTGAACAAACTGCACAGTCCTAGAGCACATCGAGAAGAAGGAAATACTAAACCACTACTGAGTACTCGATACCTGGAAAATCCTGGCAAGGGTGGCCATAAACAGGAATTTATTGGACTGCACATAATTGCTTTTATTGCCCCTATGTCAGGAATCCTGTCTGATATGTATGCTAGTCAATGCCTAATCCGAGGCTATGAATTTTGTTTTTGCAAATAGATTTCAGAGGGTGCATGAGATTAAGAACTGCCTTTCAAATTGTCTCAGTGTATATACTGTAGATAGGTTCTAGGCAAATATTACTATAAGATAGCTGTATGTTTTTGTTTGTATGGTGTACCCTTGTACAGTTACAAGGGAGATGTGTGTAGCAGTTTTCTTTTAAAAACCTGTGCGGGGCTAAAAGGGCAACTAAGGAAACTGAAGTTCTTAATTCCTGTGAATTTTCAAAACCAGAACCAATTTTCTGCCTCAAATGCTTTAACCTGTGATGGCAAATGTAATTCCTTAAGACGTGTAAGTTCCCAGGGAGAAAGCTTTACTAAGCAAAAGTGAAGGTGAAGTGGTGGTACTGTTACACTAGGCAAAAGTTTGAATATTGCAGGGTTCCCCAGGAGGCTGCTCCCTTCTATAGAAGTCTGGTAAGTGTTCTCCTATCCTCCCAGTATAGGTTATTAAGAGTTATTCCATTACAGTGTTGTGCTGTGGTTGTTCCATCGATTGTTTTATACATGTATCCAAATATGAATACATTCAAATGCAAGAAAAGAGTAGATGGGGGCTTAGGGTGGACATTTCCCTTTTCCCTTCCAATGTTAGTTACCGTACAGTGTCCACCAACAAACTTAATTCCCCTTGGGCTCATTGGGACACCCACTCCAAGTGTGTGTGTGTGTGTATGTGTGTGATTGGAGCCTAACTGGATGTTTGTTCTAGTATATTAAATCGTAAGACTCAAATGATACTGCATTATAACAATCTGTGCAGATTTCCCTGGGGTCTCTTGCTCCTTTCATTTTGCCAGAAACGATATGAGAGTGCCATGACTGTAAATATGGAACAAAGGGTTAAATCCAGGTATTAGTCTCTGCTAGGTCTGTTTCATGAATGGGACTTGTTAAATCCTAAGTTATGTTAGTTTAATTGATTCAGTGGGGGCTGCTATAGTTGTGACTAATAAATGGATTTGACCCAATATTTACTAAAATGAAGACATCCCATTGTCCTCTTACCATAACTAGATGTTTGAGTTGCTCAGGCTTCATTTGCTTTTATGGAGCCATATCTAAATGCAAATTAAAGCTAGAGCTGTATGAATTTTAATTAAGAAGGAACTCATGAAGCTGGTGACTGGGGTGTAATATTTCAGTGATAAATATTCCTCTTTCAGTGGGATTAAGATGTTTAAGCAAAGCTGAACTGGATGCCACTCTTATCTAAAGAAAATTTGTTCAGAAAAGCTTGGGGCATTTTGGTAAATCATGTTTTCATCGGTACCTTGTTTTCTTCTTCCCTTGTTCATTCTTACAGTGATATCAGCAAGAATCAAATCTCAGATATTGCATCAGATGCTTTCCATGGCTTGAAATCTCTTACCTCACTGTAAGTAAAGGGTAACCTTGGGAAGGGAGAATTGCAAAGAATCTTATAAATAGATGAAGTATTAGTTTGTGATGCTTTCCTTTTCCCTGTGTGGTTGTCACCTTGTGTGAAGTACCTAATCTTTCTTAAATTGGAAATTGATCAGAGTTGAAGGTGTCATTGCTTATACACTTCTAGATTCCTTTTACAGATGAACACTCCATGAAGGTTAATTAGATAGGCTGCTAAAGAAAAAGCACAGACCTCGTATTTTTCTTTCACTGGGTGTCCAAAGCTGTGTGGCTCATATTAACAGAGGCCACAACTGAATGTAGGTTTTTAGAAAACTGACTGAATTTTCATTTGGAAGTGATCAGCCTAAGTCATGTGAACCAGAGTTACAGACAGTTTACAGACCAAAATAATTACAGCCAGAATCCCATGGGTGTTCTCAGAGGGGTAATGTAAGTAGCCATAGCTAATTGAGACTAATCAATAAGGTGCCATTTGCATGTTGGTTGTGTGCCTGATCATGCTCTCAGTCATTCAATTTGTACATGCTCTGGAGCTCATCAATTAGCCACAGCAACCTGCATGAACGATCTGTAAACAACAGTAATATTGTGGCCTATGTAATGTAAAACAACAACAACAATAGCTACATACATCAACAACGAAGTAATGCTGTACATTTTTGAAGCTTTCTTCATAACTATTAAAATTCATGTAGAATGCAATAAAAATAGTAGTACTTCTGGCAGCATGCTTGCTTCAGAAGGAAAGTGAGCATACACAGTGTTTGCCAGTTGCTCCTGAGGTCTTGAACGGGACAGGAAAGCCTTAACAATTGAGCTGCTGCTCTAAATATTACAAGAACAATTAGATGTCTTCTGTTTCCTTCCCCTTGTATCTTTCTAAATGTAGAACAGGTGATACCTTTATTTAGACAACTAAAAATCAAACGTTCAACACAAGCTTTTGTGAATTAAATTCATTTCTCGGGCATGTCCATGTGTGTGTTCTGTGCCATCAAGTTGGGACTGATTTATAGGGACTATAATAGGGTTTTCAAGGTAAGCAACATATTTAATGAGTGAGTTTACCGGTTCTACTCCATGGCCAAGTGGGGCTTTGAACCCTATTCTCCAGAGTCCTAGTCTGTTACTCTATCCACTACACCACACTGGGAATCTCAGGCATAGGACAGAAAAAAATATGAATGAAAGTTCCCAAATGGTCATAGCTTAACGTGAGCTGACAGCTGGTTTCAACCAGTTTTGCGGCAGGGTGTTTTTCAGTGCCTCATCCCTAGTGCCATTTTACTCTCGGCCTCCAGGATAGGAGGTAGTTCCCCTTTCTGCCCTCTCGACTCATATTGCCTGTTGGGAAATCAAGTTTCTCAGTTGGTGGGTGTGGGAGAGAAAGGGCACACAGAGACACAACCATCCTCTGGGATGAATTTTTGGCTAGCTCACCGGTTAGTAAATAGCGAATCAAAGCCAGATTAATTCCAGATTAATTCCAGATTAATTCCAGATTATTATGTTGCCACATGAATTTTGCAAGCAACTTTCTGTGCCAATTGCAAACCAGCTCTGGGGGGGGGGAGATTCCTAGCTTTCTAGAGAAGGCTTTGAGGAGGGGGCTTGGGTGGGGACAGCCCTTTCTAGTTCAAATCATTTCCAGTTTTTCATTAACAGATCCTAGCATTACATAAATGTTGTAGATAGAAAAACAGATTATATTAGTAGCTCGATAGTGGATTAGTTAGAACAGGCCAAGTGTGGTTTATGTTCAGCATTGTGCTCATTTGGTTCAGAAACCATAAGGTCAAGGGACACATTTCTCATGCTGGACACGGAGGCACTCTTCCTAATATCAGCAAGCACGCTTCACATGATCTTGGCTCTCTGTTGCCTTACCAAACATCTGAACCTTACTGTATTGCTAGAGATATGAGTTGATCCATGCCTTTGGTTGTTTTTTTCTATGGTTGGCAAAATAAATTCGTCAAGGAATTTGTTTTACATTATAATAAGACTTAATTAGGCAATAGAGAACCAGGACATCTCATTTTTGGCTGGAAAGATTAAGGAAAATGGTGGCTGCTTGAAGGCTAAAATGTAAGAAAACATGATTTAGGGTTTTGTACTACATTATTACTCATAATATGGCATATCTATTATGTTGAAATGTATTGAGAGTTTGTATACAGCGGTTCAAGTGTAGCATAAAAAAACCCACAGAGTACGAATGATATTCTTCCTTGTGTGTGCCAGCAATTGAAATAATATTCACTTGGCTAGGATAAAAACTTTAAGAATGTTTACTGTAAAACAAATATGTATAATAAACTAACAGTGCTTGAAACATTTGGCTTGGTACAGACTTGTGCTGGATAGGCCTATAATAGTTTCATATCACATTTTCCTTATCAGATATAGTAACAGACAACCAGACTCTCAACAGACAGCACCCAACAGACTACTTCTAACAGACAACTCTGACAAACACAACAAATTGCTTCTAAACTGTCCAATTGAATAAAATAACTGTCACTTGTTTTTATCCATCTTTCAGGCAGTTAACCCTGTTAAATCCATTGGCTAACACCAGACAAAATCTGGTAGATTAGATCAATTCTAAAATGTAAATTACACAACTCTGACATTCTTGTGTACACATACATATACATACATGCTGGGTTGCACTTATTATATTCCAACATAATATGTTCGCCTCAGTTCCTAATTTCTTGGGTTTGCGGAACTTGAGCCAATGTGATCGTTTTGACTCTAGTCCTAAACTAGTCATTGAACATGCACATGCAAACACTGAGGTTAACCAATAAGACAAATTCCAGGTTCCAGGTTCCATGGATGTCCATTTACAAAAAGTAAAGCCCTTTGTTCTGATGATACAATGAATGCTTCTCTCCTTGAGAAAGCTTTTTGTCCCCCTTTCTTCTTTCTGCTGGAAGTAGGCAAGAGGGTTGTCCTCCCAAACATTTGTAAGCTCAATTATTTTGTTTCTGCTTCTGGCAATCATCTTGGTTTTTATTAGTTGTTATTTTTCAAGTATTTAAAAAGATTTTCTGTGTTGTTAGCTTCTTACTGAACACTTCAATTTTACTTTATGCAGTTCCCCACTGTTTATCATTTTAGCATAAAACAATAATTGGTGAAAACACAATAGATGTTTCGGCAAGATGGTTTGTGACCATACCGCTATAGCTATGTTTTTCATTAAGTGGAAAGTCAATTGCATGCTTTATTGTACAATTACTTGGAAAACTGTTTAATCAGATGCCATGGAAATTTACTGGCAAATAAACCTAATAATACATTATGGCAGCACTCCTAGATCTCCATTGGCATTCCCATCTTAAATATTTGTGCCAACAGATGTGATTATGAAATGCCAAAATAAGGACCATGATGTTGTAAAATCCTGCTGTTTATGCTAGAGGCCATCACGCATCTGACTAGTTTTCCTTTCATTTGCATTACCCATAACCATCTTCTGATGAACAGGGTACTTTCATTAAAGTGTTCAATGCTTAAAACAGTCTTGCGGTTTAAGAATGGGGCTATTTGGAACTACACTTTTCAGTGATCACACTAGCGAAGGTTTGGGGTTGTTTTTTTTTTGAAGCTACAGTAAAACAAATCCAACCTGCAGTTGAGTTCATCCCCCTTGTGAACAGGGATGGGGACCTGTGTCGCGGGACTTGCTGTCAAGTCGGAATTAAGTGACATTAATGTCTCAACCCAGACTTGACTCCGTTTTCCGCCTCCCCAGTGACTCGGTCTTGACTCATGACTCAAAACGGACCCACCCTCCCTGTTTTCTGGGGGAAAGAGCTTGTTTTTAATCGGGACTTGGACTTTGGGCTTTGGACTTGGGACTTAGTACCAAAGACTCAGACTTGGGAGTCTGATCCAAAGACTCGCCAACATCCTTGCTTGTGAAGAAGGGAAATCTATTTTATGAAAGTACAGATACAGTGAGAAAGGGGTAGAGAAATCAGGAACTGGAGAATGTTGAGCTTGACTGCTGGGGTCTTTTCACAATTAGCAGTGCATGTGTTCTTGGATCACATTTAATGTACACATTGTTATAAAATACAGAATTATAGAATCAGAAGGGACTCTGGCAGGCAGCCAGCCTAGCCTCCTGCTAATACAATAACAGCTAAAACATTCCTAACAGATGGCCATCCAACCTTTATTTAAAAACCTTCAATGAAGGAGAGCCTCCTACCTTTGAGGTAATCAATTCCACTGTCAAACAGCTCTTACTAACAGGAAGCTCTTCCTACTGCTTAGTCAGGATCTTCTTTCTTGTAATTCATACCATCTGTACGAATCCTATTTTCTAGACTAGCCGAAAACATGCTTGCTCCTTCTTGTATGCCACAGCCGTTCAAATATTTGAAGATGGCTGTCCTGTCACTCCAAACTCAATGTACCCAACTTCCTCTGGCATTCTTCCCAAGGCTTTTTTTCCCCATAGCTTTTACCACTCTTTTTGAGTTCTGTGCCTTAAGAAAGCAACCCTGAAGAGTTTTAAGCTACATTCCAGCCTTGCTTTAAGGTCGTATCAGCCCTCTCCTATCAGATTTAGGAAAGGCTTTGATAGCATAGTTGAGTTATTGGCTGAGTGAAATGGAAGACTTCTCAGCCCAGTTGCCAGTTCCATTGGAATTTAATAGGATTTTAATACTTCCCTGTAGGAGGTATCTTCTTCACTTCTGTACCTTGAACACTTTATATGCAAAGTATAATATTTGCTATCAGACTCCTTTTTTAAAAAAAATCTCTAATCTCTGACCTAAATTTGATCATTTGTTCTGGGAACAAACTCTTGCTATCAATATGCTGTGATTTAAAGCTGTAACTGCAAAGCTTGCTTGAAAGAAGGTTCTCTCTTGATGAAATGGCAACTGGAAAATAAAACTGACACCATAGAACCAAGTTGGCACCATTGGAGGTACGATGCCTTTTAAAAAAACACCACATGCTTCCTTTCTCCAATCTGGCCTCTTGGTTCTTGTAATTTTATCCCAGCAATTGTGGCTTGGGATCCAAGCATTGTATTTGTGAGTAGAAATTCCTTCCACAGAGGATTACTAGTTTTCCACTTCATCTGCAGACCCGGCACCCCCTGAAAACTGGTGACAAGCAGTCTGTGATCTCTCAGAACATTTTTTTCTGTAGGCAGGCTGGGAGGACCTTTCAGACACCAGGACTTTTGAATAGATAGCAAAATTATTTCATTAAGTTCTTATTATCTTCTGCCTCTAAAGGCTAACTTGTGGTACTCAGCATTTTCTGACCAATAAAGTTAGTAGCCAGAAATCCACCCACCCTCTTGTGCTAGATAAATAACGAAACCTGCTGCCTAATGATTATAGTAACATGGAATATTTCTCTAAAATCTGCTCAGAGTCAAGGTTCTGATTCTTCTTCATTGGGTTCTTTTAGAAAACCTCATATACATCAAATTATTTATCTTTGAGTCAAGGAAATCCTAGATTAATGGGCTTTCCTTTTCAGTGACAGCTCAAGGATATAAGAGGTGGAAAGGATCCTATTAAAGAACCAGTTTGTATATAATATTAAATAGTCCATGTATTAATGTGGATAGTCCTAATGTTGGGCGCTGGAACATACATTTGCATGTGGGCCAGGGATTCTAAGTTTAACCCTGTTCTCCTCTTGATATTGCTCTTGTAACGAACAATATCATAGAATTCTAGAGCTGTGAGGGACCCCATGGGTCAGTTCTAACCTCCTGCCAAAATAGGAAATCCATGACTAACATATATAACAAAGCAACAAAGCTTATTCATTATACTGCAGAAGTAGTGAGTGCTGTTAATACAGCAAATCTACTTTTTAGGTATCATTGGCAGAACAGGGAAATGTGTCAAAATGTAACCAGGAACAAATATAACCAAATATAACAAATTAACTTATTTGGTCTAATTGCATGAAATGGGTAATTAATTAGCCTGTAGTTAATTAAATGTAACCAGCTGATGCCACACTTTGGTTCAAAGTTGGCTGATTTAGAAAATGGACAGTACAGTATGTGCTCCAAACTATATGAAAACATGATCCAGCTTTTATGGAAAGTGAAACTAGCTATTCCCAGTTCCAATAGCTGAATGCTTTGCTTGAGCTTGTTCCAGCTTGTGCCCATGGTGCTGAGTCACAGTTAAGCATTACAGGTGAACCAGCTCTTAGATTCGCAAACTCTCTCTCAGCCCTGCATACACAAGCAAAACTAAAACAAATGTCCGTACAATTAAATTAAGTCTTTAGCTTTTCTATCTGTGAGTTAGTATTGGGGATGAAATTAACATCTGCTTCTAATTTTTTAAAGCTATTTCTTTATTTTCTTATATTTATAGTCCACCATCTCCTGTGGGCTCACAATATGTTACAGCAGTTTCACAAAATACAGATATATCACTCTCCTCCAGAGGCTCACAGTGTTTTTTTGCACATGGTATCTAAGACTTCTGGGTGCCGGTAGGTTTTCTACACATTGAATATGTCTGTGCCAGAGCTCAGAATACCTTCCCCAGACTGTCTGGAGATATTTTGTGTGGGTTTTTTTGAGCCAGTCCACATTTGCTCAGCGATGAGAGAATTTATTTCAGATCTGAATAGGATCTACCTCCCTTTTGATTCAGGCTCCTGACCAATTTTTAAGATAGATTAGCTTGGATCCAAACTCACGGTGCTTGGCATGTCTTTCACATTTACATTATCACTTAATGAATGTGGGTGTGTTATCATTTTGGACAGTTGCCAGTGATGAACAAAAATGCTGTTGAAAGTATCTGATGATAGACCACCGCTGTAATTTTTACCTTGAATTACTTGGCTGGAATGCCTTCAGTTAAGGTGGAAATAAGGGTCTTTTTCCTTGAGGTTGATAATATCTGAAGCAGCTGTTACCTCAAATTCTTGCAGTATTCTGCTTAGCATGTGTATGCATGTTAATGCATTTTTACCACTGTATTTTTTTCTAGAATTTACTTGCTGTTGCAGATCCCTTTTAAACATCTCAGCAGGTGATTTTATGTTATGCTAATCTAACTCCCAAATAAGAACTTTACAGCCACTTGAGAAAAAGGAAATAAATGTTGTTAGGAAATGCTGATGAAGCAAAAGTCTTGATAAGCAGTGCAGATGAAGTAAACGGTACAGATAGTTCAAACACACATCAACGTTGTGAAGCAACTGCCATGGGCTTTTTCTTACAATGGCTACCTGACTCCAATACACCATTCAAAGAGGCTCTGGGAAATGTCAATCACTCATTTAGAGAATTACATGATGGAGTGTTCTGTCTATTCGTTTCCTAGTTGGGGGGGGGGATATTTAATTTTGTTTGTTTGTTTTATGATTTTATGATTGTATCATTTTTTGCTGTGTTCCATTGGATTTTATCAAACTGTGAACCACCTGAAATAGTGCTGTGCACTAATGGGGCAATAAACAAACAAACAAACAAACAAATAAAAAAGCCGGTTTGAGGGGGGAAAGCAGCGTTGTCTCTGTGAGGTTTTTCCACACCCCTCTAAATGTAATGGGATTTATTTATTAGCAAACACAGGATTGCACTGCATGAAATAGAAGTAAGCAAATTTAGAAAGACATTCTATACCATCTGGTCCATATTAGGGAGCTGTACTTGGCTTTAGGCTCAGAATATCCTTTTGATGTAGCCCTAAGCAATTGGTGATGCTTTGGCACACCCAACATTTTTTTCCAGTTTTATCATTTGGCTATAATTATTTGTTAGTACCTTCCAATTACTACATCTCCTTATTTCTTTTACACGTACTTACAGGCTGGAGAAGCAAGGGTGCATAGAAAGGTTTTGCAGTTCTACAAAACCAACTTCATAAAACCAATAACTAATCCAGAACAAACATGATCTTCTAATACTTATACACCCTTTGGTTTATTTCAGCTCATTTGTAATTTATGTACAAATTCTGTAACAAACTTTGTAATATACAAACAATGCAAGTACAGTACAGTACTTCTCACGTGGCAAAGAACCAACATAAAGAGCATAAGCACCACTGCATTATCCAGTGTCTGAAAGATGTTTGAATGGAAAAATCTGAAGGAGCATATTAGTTCATTAATAGCTTGATTTTTAATCTGATCCAGTCCTCTGTATGGTAAGCATAGTTGACATCATGTAGCATGTCTAAACAGAAGATTCTTTGCATACAAATTGCTTTACCTCATGTTTTGCAGAGTGCTGTATGGAAATAAGATCACAGAGATTCCAAAGGGCCTTTTCGATGGGCTTGTGTCTCTGCAGTTGCTGTGAGTATTATCATTGCATCTTTTCTTGTTGCCAAGGTTCACAAGTGCTTGATGCTCTTGAGTTCAGCAAAGTAAATGCTGGCTTGTACAATGCATGTTCACAATTTGTGTGCATTACTTTAAGCTTCTTGTTCCTGTTTGAGTAGATGGACATATGAAGCCAGCAGAATGTCAGCCTTCATGGGCATAATAGCTGTGTAGTCTTTGGCAAAACAGAATATTGTTTGATAGCTTATGCAACAGTTTATTATTAGAGTTTTAAATCCTCATGAATGTAATCTGGTACATCAACAAGGTTATTATACTTGACTTTTGTATATTTTATATTTTGTCAAATTAGGGAGCAATAAATTCAAAGTCCTGTGAGCGTACATGAAGGTGTGGATCCAAGTGGGTGAATATAGCTCTCGCACAGTCAATATGAAAAGGTTTCATATTGAGCGGCAGCTGTGAGGAAACTAGGAAAGGTCCTTGACAAGTAAGCATGTATCACTGGAGACCAAGGCCAAGATAATCTATACTATAGTATTCCAAACTATGTAAGGATATGAAAGTTTTTTAAAACTATGTAAAGATGTGAAAACTGCACAGTGAAGAAAGCTGACAGGCAGAAAATCAGTTAATTCAACATGTGGTGTTGGAAGAGTTTTTTTTTAAGCATGTGTTGAAGGAACACAGATCTTCTTGAAATGATATTCTGTTGTTTTGGCGGCATCAAATGGTAACTGCCTGGTGAGCCTTTGCAACTGTCTTCTTATTTCCTGTTATCTAAGTGTAGCTAGCCAGCAGTCTCATGAAACTGCCATGACCAGACTTTGAAAGAATTCCAAAACTGGCCAACATTCTAGTTAGCAGTTGAATATATGTCTTTTTATCGTTGTTGCCGCTAGCATGAAACTCCTTATTCTGTTTGTGGTGATGGCTTTTCTTAGTGGCCTTCAATTTTGCTTGCCCTTGACAACTCCTTTCTATGTGTTATGACCGATCGACATGAACTGAATATTTTGCCACAGTCCTAGAAAAAAGTAAAAAGAAGAAAAGGCTGTGTGGGCTTTGTAGACAACCTGAAAACAAGGGTGGGGAATACCTTTATTAGAGAACTAAAACCTCAGAAGCAGAAGCTAGCTTTTGGCTCCACAGGAGCTGGGGGATAGGGCAGAGGAAACATGAATGTTCCAAAATCCCCAGTCCAGGTGTACAGGCTAGGTTTCCCTGTTTAAAAGAAGTTCCAAGATGGAGGCTGAAGAATCAGCTCAGAAAGACAAGTTTCAGATTTTACCCCTGGAGGGGTGGATTAGAATGTCCATCCTATTGTGTTAAATAAATAAACCTGTATCTCACCCAATAGTGCAATGTGCACTCTTTGGACAATAGACAATTGCAGAAGGAATACTACTCTAATGATGCTATGCTAGAAGACATTTATCTATGCAACTTTCTCCTTCTTCATACTACATGAAAAATTTCCTACTCCTGTTTTTGAAATTCCTGAAGTAAAGATTTAGAAATTAGTCAGTCTGGACACATCAGTCATTTGTTTTTCTTTTGGTTTCTGGATGATTTTTTTGGGGTGGTGTTTGTTTTGTTTTTCGATTTGGACATTTCTGTTAGATCACATCAGTAATTGGTATATGTTACAGCGATAACATTTTATTTTACATCACATGTTACTTAAAATAAATAAGTAAATACAGGAATGAGAAAAAGGCCAATCCAAACAATAGCCACAACAGCCAGACAACAAACATCTACTTGCAACAGGATTTGAACTGTCTTTTCCCCATTCTGTCAATATGTTTGCATCTGCATGGCTGTTATCGTCAACATACAAGTTATCTGAATTTGGTTTATTAACTATCTGTACCAGTGTGTGTGTTGTGTTTCCTTTATGTCTAAACCAGAAAGCTGGTTTGGACCTGCTGTTGAACAGTTGGAAAACTGCTCTCTGATTAGATCTAATTTAGCATTTAGTGGACTGTAAATTGAATCTTTTCATATTAGTCTAGAGACAAAAGGGTAAGTAAAATCCAATGAGTGTATCCTAGTAGCCGGCATAATTTCTAAAGCTTGTCAGTATCAGTGTGGTACACACTACATAGTAAACATGCAGAAAGGAAGAATGATCTTTCAGTTAAGCTTTGTGCTGGGAAAGTGATATGAAAATCAGTGTTTTTATTTATGCAATAATGAGTCTCAGTAAAGAACTGCATCATTGCTTTTGTACAAAAGTCAGCCTTTTCATAGATTATCCATTCCTTGAATAGCTCCACTGAAGCACACAGTAAACGCAGTTTTTGTTTTCAATTGTCTAATAAATTCATGACATCTTCTATAAATAAGCAGAGTTGTGGACTGTTAAGCCTAGCATTAATAATTGGCATGGTTTAGAAAACGCCATGATTGATAGAGCTGAGATAGAAAGCATGCATATGTTCTTTGTGCCTGCAGTATGGAAGTGTTAGATACCACCTATCCTTTTTTCAGTCTGCTGTTAGATACCATCTGTCCTCTTTGCCACTATCCTCTTCCTCCTTATTTACGTAACAAAATGTAACTACAAAATGTAGTTTTAAGTTTTTTAAAAATTAATTAAAATAGAGTAAATAGAATACCCCTGGGGTATTTGCTGACCCTTTACTACACAGAGGCAAAACCAAAAGCTAGTGCATCCTTCACAAAGTCCCACTCAGCTGCCTCATCGTGATGTGGAGACAACTGTGAGTTCTCAAGGGTCTTGAAAGTGAAACAGAATTGGAGGTAGTGACCACCATGTGGATAAGGCTTTAGGCATGGCCCTGGCTGCAGAATGAATGGCTCTGCCTGGCTATATATGGAAGAGGTTGACCATCATGGGATAAATTACCCACAGCAATTATGAACAAAGTGATGATGTGAAATAGTTATGATCCTCATGGAAAGACTAGGTGCACTCAGGTACCTGCTTTTTTCTGATGTAGGAAGGTCACAGATCCTCAGAATATGTCTGAATGTACAGTATGTATTCATTTTCCACCAGAGAGCCAAAAGTGGTCACTGTATTGATAGTGGGGGGGGGGGGAGCATTGATGTGATCTTCCTCCTCCTCCTTTTTGTTGTTCTTCTGTGACCAGAGTTTGGATATTACCATGGATATTTTGACCTGGGATGTGGAACCTTCAAACATTCATGTTGTGTTGAATCCAAAGCATTCACTAAGGATTTTTTTTAAATCCATGTCATTATATTACTTCTTGTATTTGTTATTTTATTTTTGGGGAGGGAGATACTATTCATTCATTCATTCATTTTATATGCTACCTTTCTCCTCATAGAGAACCTAGGCAGCTCACAAGAATTAAAATTATACAGTAACAATAATGAATAATACCATTAAAAACAATTAAAAATTGGTAAGGATTAAAACATTTTAAGAAACATGTAATACAGTGTCATAAAGCTTAGGAAAATCCTGCCAAAATCCTTTACAATGCCGTTTTGAAAGTAACTAGAACCTGCTGCTCACTGTAACAGTGAGATAATCTGTTCCTGCCCATTATGCTGCTTTGGACTTGCGATAAGCTTTCTGCTGTGGGTGCAGTTATGCAACAAAATTGATCAGCTGGTGCTGAGTATAAAACATGTACAAAAATAAAAAGCTGCTTGTGAATAATAATA